AGGCCGTCCCAGACTAGGCGGACTAATCCGCCAGCAGCCCAGATGACAGAGGAGCTCCACTTTTGGGGTGCTTCCCTTTCACTATTTCTGACCAGGCGTGGAGTCTACCATGGTCAGACTCATTCTTCTTTGAGGGCGGCACGATACACTTTTTGCCGAGGTTCCTGACTTGGCCGCCACATGTGTAGTAGCAGCATCGGGTACATGCAACAAGAATGCTACCGCCTTCATTCACAGCAAAGAAAATCGCTCTGTTTCCATGGTCGATCAGGCTTTGGCCAGTTAAGCCCTTTATAGAGGAGGGCCACGACAGCGTCCAGGAGGGGGCTTGTGCGGACCACGGGCACACCGAAAGCACGAGGAACAAATCCAAAACCTACCTTCCCAGTGCCAGTCATGGGGAGGCAGAGGAGTAGGCCTCGGAGCAAAGGGAGGTTTGGTCCAGGGGGCCTGGGAAAGGTCCAACCTGGGCCAGAGAGACATGACGCGGGCTGCCAACTTGCACACAGCGCGGGAGATTCGCGCCCCACGAACGGCACGCTCAGCCTCGACAGTCGCTGGAGACGGGTGTCTCAGGGCGGCAAGGCGAGCAGCCTGGTCAGCACTATCATTACCAAACTTGTGGGCCCGAGCCTCTGGGGAAAGATCAGGGCTTTCTGGCACATGGCCCTTAACCTTACTGACAGAACTGGCTACGTGTCCCAGGTCTTGGAGCATAAAACCAGCATAGGGGCGACGAAAAGACAAGCGAGAGGGGATGGGGTCGAGAGCGGCGTTGACCACATTTTGACAGTCACTGTAGATGTGACTGTCATCGTCGCCACACTGAGACGCCATACAATAGGCCGCATATTCAGCAGCCTGTGAGGTTTGGAGAGGGCCAGAAATTACACATTGCACATCCCCAGCTTATGAAACGCTAACCACCGACCACCCCGCCCTGGTGAGCTCAGGAGAAACGTTCCTAAAACAAGAACCGTCTACATAGAGCCTACCGCTGAGGATGTTGTTGGCGTTGTCTGGGTCCCCCGTCCAAGAAACCTAAAAGCCAGAACCTGGGCCATCAATTTCATGTGCAGGGCGAGGGATACTGCCCACGCGTGTATAAGAGATGCTGCTCAGGATCACTCTCTTCAGTGAGGTCAGGGGGAGGAGCAAGACAAGCATCTCTACCAAGGACTTCATTACGTACGTCGTCACAAGCGGGGCAGTGCCATAGACGACGGATGATGGTGTCATCCGCACTGCCACATAACTCACATAGAACATCATTGAGTTGATACCCCGCAGCTCGAGCACGGGTTTTACCCCACACTGCAGCACACGCGAGAGCTTTGATCGAGCCCGTCGCGAAGGCCGAAAACCTGGATGACTGCAACATGGCGTAAACCTGATCATGGCATGCACGAACGGGCTGCTGAAGAAGGAGGAGAAGCTTGGCACCAGCACGACGCTCATGCAAGCGCAGGACAGCTAGCCTCAGATGACGTTTCAAAAGCGCGGGGCTCACCAACGTGAGCGGCAGATCTATCCCGAACTGGTCTCGCATCACCGTGACACTCGGCATCGTCCAACCTGAGGAGGAGGAGGAGGAGGAGGAGGAGGAGGAGGAGGAGGAGGGAGAGGAGGGAGGAGGCAGGAGGAGGAGGAGGCGGAGGAGGAGGCGGAGGTTACCCTCGCATCCTTCCCCTTCTGCCCATCCTTGGCCGTTTCCGGTGGCCCTCGGCGGAGGGCCGGTGGGCACAACAAAAGGGGGGCGGCTCCGCCAGCAGAGGGCCGCTGGAGTCGACCCGCACAGGAAGGACGAGCGACTGTTCGGGGAGACCGGAGCAGATACACTGCCATCGGGGGTGGACAGAACCCCCAACAGTGACACGTCGATTAGTGAATTGTCCGTTTTCGGTTCTCGAGAGGGCGCCGTGGCCGTTATTTTCCAGGCTTGCGCCCGCCAGGTTTGGGCCTCAGGTCGTTTTCACTAAACCACGTTTTACTAAAGGGGAGTCTGTCCATCCCCGATGCCAGTGGCGGGCCGCTCTTTCAATGCCAGGACCTTTTTGAGGGTCGGGGACGGCGTCGGGGCGGGGTGGTGTCTACTTGCTGCTTCCGCATCCCGAGGACACGACGAGACATGTAGACACCAAGACCCCGCAGACATCAGGATCCGTTTTCTTGAGCAAGCCTCAGTGCAGAGCAGGAAACAGCGTCGGTGCATAGAGTTCGGTTCCCCATTTTCGCCGGAGTGACCTTTGGTGCGGGCGCACCGGGGTCCCCAGATCGCCGAGCGCGGTGCGGCAGTAGCGTCTTGCGCGCTCCCGTGCGGCCCCCCCGCGCCCCCCGAGAGCCTCGCACGGTTGGTCATTCTTGCCCAGGTTTTTTTTTGCGTGTAGCCTCCTCCTCCTTCCAGCCTCCTCTTCCTTCTCCTCCTCCTTCTCCTCCTCCTCCTCCTCCTCCTCCTCCTCCTCCTCGTGATCTTCCCCGCCATCTTCCCCCAAGAGTTTCC